CCAGCTCCCTGGGCCCCCTCCTGTGTGCTGGGGGGCTGCATTCCCCACCCCTGTCCCATGTTTCCCATCCCTCCACCACCATTAAAGTTCTGTTGCATCGCTATTTTTTTGCCCAGTGTTTTCTTTTTCACCTTTTCACCTGCAAACCTTCTTTTTTCGTTGGCTCAGTTGCCCCGAGCCAGCTGAAAACCTTCTGTCCCACGTCCCTGGGGGACCTCCAGGGCCCTTTAGGTGACAGCAGGAACTTGCAGCAGTGGAAAACCTTGCTGCCTCTGACACATTCCAGGATTCAAGTGGCTGAACTGGAATTCCACCTCCCCACACTGTGGGATTTCACCTCCTCCTGGCAGTGTGGGATCTTCCCTCCTCCCTGCAGAGCTTCATAATGATTTCAAGCAAATTATCTAATTGTTTTCAAATTGAGCCTGTTTCTTCAGCCCTATTAAGGTTCTGCTTGGAGCTGACAGGTTTATTGTCTGCCATCATTAATCACAGATTAAAATCCCTTAATTCCTTAAGCACTGGGAACTCGAGCCATTGCTTGGTTCTGTGTCATCTAATTTCCTTTCTGCCTCCAGAGAAGCTGCCAATCAAAATCTTTGTTCCTGCCATTTTCACCTTGGTTTTAGAGAGAGAGAAAAATTAGATTTTCCCAAATCAGGAATCTGTCACAGGGATACCTTTCCAAGGAACATCAAAGGGAGCAGAGCTGGGTTTTAAGACATCTTCAGCTTTCAATAGACTTGGAGACTCCCCCATCGGTCTCTTTGTGCTTCTGCTCCCGGGACCAGCTACAGAAACAACAACACAAGGTGTGATTCCTGCTCTTGTGTCACTCCCCCCTTAGGAAATCCTCTCCTGCACACCCTGGTGATGTGAAATGTTATATCACATTTTGCTGTGATATAACTGCAGCCCTTGGATGGGGCCACAGTCAAAAGCAATTTCTACACATCTGACACTGCAAGCTCGAGGTGACAAATCAAGGGAAGTTTCTTTAGTGGATTTCCTTCGGTTCCCATTCCCAGCCCTCAAAGAAATGTGGTTTTATATGGATTTGCACCTCTGACAATGTGTTGGAGTTGCCTGAGCCTCAGACATCCTCAGGGAGCCACAATAGTTCCAATAAACTGATTCTAAATGAAATGAGGTGATAGAAGGGAAGGGGTCGGGCTCTGCTCCCAGGGAACAAGGGACAGGAGGAGGGGGAACGGCCTCAAGCTGTGCCAGGGGAGGCTCAGGTTGGACATCAGGAGGAATTTCCTCCTGGAAAGGGTGTTGAGACCTTGGCAGGGGCTGCCCAGGGAGGTGGGGGAGTCCCCAGCCCTGGAGGTGTCCAGGGAAGGACTGGAAGTGGCACAGAACCACCTCCAGAAACCTCTGTGGCACACAAAGAACCACTGAACTCCTCTGTGGGCTTAAATTTGGGATGTTTCCTCCAACCCTCCCTTTCACAGCTCCTTGATTGCTTCAGCAATTACCACAAAACCACATAATTGCTGCTCTGGGGCTCGGGGAAGGGCAGGGAGTCAGCGGGGAAGGGTCAGACCCGCAGAGAAAGGGAAGCTCAACGAGATGTGATGATGCAGGAGGGTTTTATTGGGATTCACCAGGCAAGGAGGTGGCCCATGACACAGAGCAGGCACTCCTTCAGCACAGCACTCCCTGCCCAAGCTGAGTCCATCTCCCACCCACTGTTCTTCTTCTCCTGTCAGGGTTGGATTGACAAACCCTGGGTCAGGCCTTCCAGGGGATCATTTTTTCTCAGACGGGGAGCAGGCAGTGCAGGATGATCAGAGGAGCTGTCACCAATATCAGACAAAGGCAGAAAAGCAGCAGCAGAGAGGTGTGGGCCCAGTTTCCAGGGGTGCTGAGCAGGGGTGGCTCCCGTTGGGGCTTTTGCCACCCCTGGGAGCTGGTGCTGGTGGAGGATCCGGGCTCTGCGTTGTCATCTCCTGGTTCCTCGCCTGGTCTGGGGTTTTTTGGGTGCCTGGAAAGGAGCCTCAGTTTCCCAGGCGGGGGTAGAGGCTGCTGCTGGTGTAGAACCTCCTGCTGTAACACCCCCCTGGCCTCGAGGAGCCCCCGGAGCCTCCGGAGCTGCAGCATCCAGAGGAGCCCCCCATGCCCCCGGAGCCATAGGAGCCCCCGGAGCCATAGGAGCCCCCAGATCCAGAGGAACCCCCCATCCCTGACATTCCCCCCGAGCCATAGGAGCCCCCAGAGCCATAGGAGCCATAGGAGCCCCCCATCCTGGGGGTCAGGGCACCGGAGGGCTGCGGGAAGGACGACCCCACAAAAGCTTCCTGGGGGCAGCTGCTGAACACGGGGCCCGGGAAGGTGATGAACACTGGAGGGGCATAAACCACGGCCCTGGAGTCCCCACAGGAGGCCACACAGGAGCCAAGGCTCCTGCCATAGGCACAGGGCTCGGGGCAGGTCACCTCACAGCCGGGCTGGCACCGGGAGCTGATGCTGCTCATGGTCCTGGGGGTCGGAGCTGGAGCTGGGAGAGACAAGGGGGGAGTCAGGAAAGCACCACACAGGGGGCAGGAGTGGGGTTAGGGGGGCAAATCAGAGCCTTGTCCTTCCCAGACACAGAATCCCGGAATCCCTGAGGTTGGAAAAGCCCTTCAGTGTCATCCAGTCCCCCCTGTGCCCCATCCCCACCTTGGCACTCAGTGCCACATCCAGTCCTTCCCTGGACACCTCCAGGGCTGGGCACTCCCCCACCTCCCTGGGCAGCCCCTGCCAAGGCCTCAACACCCTTTCCATGGGGAAATTCCTCCTCATGTCCAACCTGAGCCTCCACTGGCACAGCTTGAGGCCGTTTCCTCTTGTCCTGTCCCTTGTTCCCCGGGAGCAGAGCCCAACCCCTTCCCGGCTCCCCCCTCCTGTCAGGGAATTCCAGAGCCAGAAGGTCCCCCCTGAGCCTCCTTTTCTGCGGGATGAGCCCCCCCAGCTCCCTCAGGAGTTCTCCAGCCCCTTCTCCTGCTGCTCCAGCCCCTTTCCCAGCTCCGTTCCCTTCTCTGGACAAGCTCCAGCCCCTCCATGTCCTTTCTGAACCTCCTCCCTCAAATCCTCCTGTCCTGTGATACCTTTTCTTCCTCCCTTCCTGCCCCAGGGCTCTCCTTCATCCAGCAGAGTTAAGCTTTATATTTGCCCCCCTCAAGTTTTGAAAGCCACAAGAAACAAAGTGAAGGAGCTCTTTTAAAATCCTCTTTAAATGTCAGGTTGGTTTCTGGCACCATCTCCAAGTCCCTGCAGGGACCCTCCTGGGAAAGGAGGGTTTCACTGCCCCAGCTCAAGGCTAAAATCACAAAGCACAGACCCAGGAAAGAGTCGTGATTTAAACTAAACAGAAACACGACAGGTGGGAAGTATCAGCTGAAATCCAACTTACCTGGAGTGGCAGGAGAAGTCAGGAGAAGGTTTTAGGAGACTCCTGAGATGTTCCTGCTTTTATACCCCTTTGCAGGCAGCTCCAGGGATGTGAAGCACCTCATAAAATCTCCACCACTTACCAAATTGTGATTTATTTTTTTTTCTGTGTGACTCCTCTGATGCTCATAATTATTTTCATAGTTTCCAATTAGCAAATCAACCCCGGACATATACAGTGAGACTCTCATATCATAAATCTGAGGGTTTTACTGGGCTGAAATTTTACAGTCCCTGTGCAACATCCCTCTGGTGACCTCACTGGATTTACAATGAAAACTGACCCCTGCTTGTTGTTTTTTGCTGTTGATGTGCCAGGGGGGGCCCAGAAAGATCAACCTTCCAAGTCTGCTTTTGACAGTGGCTTGAACTGATATTGAGCAAGATAAAATAATTTTGAGGTTCAACCTCCCTCCTGAAGGATTTCGGGGAGGGTTTTTTTCATGGAAAGGGTTGGAATGGAAGGGCTTTCCCAGCTGGAATGGTTCTGTGACTCCCAGACCCACCTTGGAGCACAAAGAGCTGGTGACTCTGGGGCGGCTCCTCGTGCCGAGGCTCTGAGCACAACACCCCAAAACGAGCTTTGGCACTTAATTGGGGGAAATGACTCCCAGGGCTCAGGGCTTAAATTCATGTCACGTGTCACCTCAACCCCCTTGCTCCGTGTCCTGCCCTGTCACCCCTCGGGATGGACTCAGGGAGGGTCACAAACAATCCTGACCCCCCATCCCGGGTGGGGTCGGGCGATCCCCTGGGAGGGATTATCCCTAAATCCAAGGATTACACCCCAAACCTGTGACTGACACACAGAGATCAGCCCCTGTTTCCTTTGGAACCAGGATGATGCCAAAAGGATTGTTCTCCACGAGGCTGGAGACAAAAGGAACCTGTTGGGTGTTGGATTCAGAGCAGGGCTGGAAGTGGAGCACTAAAGATGAGCTGAGGTGGAGACAATCCCAGGGCTTAGGAGAGGATCTTTTTCCTTGCAGGTGACACGAATTTGGTAAATAATGGATGATCTCACATCCTCCCCATTGTCCAAAAAGCTGTATAAAAGGGGAGAGAACTGAGAGATCTTCTACTCTTCCAGCTCCACTGATTTATCCCTCCAAGCCAGCAGGGTAAGTCTGATCTCACTGCACTTCTCTGGAGCTACAGAGTAGTTAAAACTCACTTTTTTTATCCTGAAAAACTCCAGCAATTCTAGAAAATCTGAGGTAGAGTAGATTTAGCAAGAATCCTTGGAAAAGCTGGGGGAATGGGAAAAATGGAGCAAGGAAGATTTTCCCTGGAGACTTTTTGAAGTCACAGGCAAACCTTCCTTCCAGTCTGCTTGGGGAAGAGAATCAATGGGACTTTCCTGAGCAAGGAATTGTAAAAGGATCAGAGGGTTTAGTCCCGGAGAACAGAGTGGAATTTTTTGGAGAGGTTCAGAAGAATAAGAGAAGTGGGTGGTGGGAAGGGAAGAAGAGCTGAGAAGCCACAAAACAGGCGAGGGAGGAAAAATCAGGGAAAATGGAACCTGTGAGGGAGGGTTGGTCTGTGAGCAGCTGCAGGAGAAGGACAAGGAGCTCCTGGCTCCTGCTGGGAACCTGCAGGCCCCTGACTGTGCTGGTTTCTGGGCTGCAGGGTGTCTGTCCCAGCTTTGCCTCCGTTCCCCGGGGATGATGTGGAACAGCAGCAGCTCCGAGTGCCCCCCTGGCTGTGAGGTGTCCTGTCCCCAGCCCTGTGCCTACAGCAGGAACCTGGAGCCCTGTGTGGTGTCCTGTGGGGACTCCAGAGCCGTGGTCTTTGCCCCCCCGGTGCTCCTCACCTTCCCGGGCCCCACCCTGGGCAGCTGCTCCCAGGAGAGCGTGGTGGGAACATCCTTTCCCCCCCTGCTCGGGGCTCTGACCCCAAATGGCTCCGAGGAGTCCTGTGGGATGGGGGAGTCCTTTGCCTCTGGAGGGATGGCAGGGATGGGGGGATCCTCTGGAGGCTCCTTTGAGGCTGGAGGTGCCTTTGGATGGGGGGGCTCCTTTGGTTCTGGGGGCGTGGCAGGGATTGGGGGTTCCTTTGGATGGGGGGGTCCCTGTGGGAATGGGATGAAGGGTTCCTTGGGATTGGGGGGTCCCTGTGGGTATGGAGCAATGCCAGGGATGAAGGGCTCCTTTGGATGGGGGGATCCCTGTGGGAATGGGGTTGTGCCAGGGATGAGGGGTTCCTTTGGCTCTGGGGTTTCCTTTGGCTCTGGGGGTTCCTTTGGCTCTGGGGCTCCCTTTGGGTCCAGAGGCTCCCCAGGGATGGGGGCCCCTCAGGGCAGGAGGTTCCACAGCACCCGCCGAGGATCCCGCCTGGAAAACTCGTCCTGAGACAACCCCACAGCAACCTGGGAGCTGAAAATACCCAGTGCAGGTGCTCAGCTGGGCCTGGTGTTCAGAGATGATGGGACCCCCTTGCTCAGCACCCTGGGGACCAGGCCCACAGCCCCCTGTCTCCCCTGGTGCCTCCCCTGGGATGGGACTCTCCTTGAACTCCCCCCGTTCCTGCACTGGCTCCTTTCTGCTGGACTGGAAATGCTTCACAAGAACTGCAAGTGGGACTTTGCTGCCAAGATTTCAGCTGGACCCTGTGATGTGCTGTTCCTTTGTCATCAGCAGGGGTGGCCTGGCTGCCTTTGGGCCCCAGCCCAGCCAGGAGTTGTCCTGTTCCATTCCACGGCTCTTCCTTCGTGTCCCATTAAAGCTCTGGTTCCCATTAAAGCTCTGGTTGAATTGCACCCGTGGCTTTCTGGTTTTCCTTTCCACAGAATCACTGAGGTTGGAAAAGACCTCCAGGATCATTAAATCCCACCTCTGACTGGTCACCACACAGTTTGGTCACCCCTAAGCCTTCCCTTCTCACTGTTCTTTCTGTGTAGGGAAGAACTTCCACACCTTTCAGTGGCTGAGCCTGGCAGGGATCGATCCCAAGCACCCATTTCAGTCTGAGAACATTCTGGATAATGGATAATGATGCTAATTCTGTGCAATGTGGGTTGCAGGGAGTGGGTGGTGGATGCACCCACACTCAGCTTCCCCCAGCTGGGCTCCCACAGGACCGAGAGGATCAGACTCAGCGATCCCGAGGCTGATCCAGGGCTGTCCCTGTGAACTGGGACTGCAGCGAAGGTGATGCCTCCCAGTTTATCCAGGAGGGTTCCACCCCCACACGGGGCTTGCTCAAGAGGCCGGAGGATGAAAGGTGGAGTAATGGGAGTGAAAATTGCTGGGGCATTGCTGCCACAACCTGCTCTGCTCTCTGAGCCAAGATAAAACTGCAGAGCCCTCAACAGCTGAGCAGCATCTTGGGGGCTTCCTACAGACCCTGGAGAGACAGGACGAGGGGGAATGGACTCAGACTGGCACAGAGGAGTGTTTGGATATTGGGAAAAAGTTCTTCCCTTCTCAGGTTGCCCAGGGAAGCTGTGGCTGCCCCATCCCCAGGAGTGTCCAAGGCCAGGTTGGAGCAAACCTGGTCCAGTGGAAGGTGTCCCTGCCCGTGGCAGGGGATGGGATTGGATTAAGGTGCCTTCCAACCCAACCCATTCCACGATTCTGGGCATGGATAACACACCCTGGATGTGCTGCTCGGGCAGTTCTGGTGGGGATTGTGCAGGAAGCCCTCTGGGATCCCCAGTTTTTGGGGAGCACAGGGTGGTTGTGCCGCTGTGGCCCGAGGGATCCCACGGGGATGCTTAACGAGCTCAGCTCATTTACTGCATTAGTGCTCCAATTAAGCTGACAAACCACAAGGATTAAGGCAATCAGAGGAAGGAAATGAGTGTTGTGCTTGGCACGGCAGCTCTTGCTCAGCCCCTGTCACCGAGAGCAGCACAATGGAAGGGGCTCCTAAAGAAAAATAGGGATGCAGCTGCTGGGGTGGATTTGTCTGACTTTCCAGCACTTTGCAGAGTGCAAGGCTTGTGCTCTGAGTCTCAATTGCATCCCAATAACTTTCCTCCCTTTCTTTTGGCTTGGTTTCCCAACAACTTTCGGACCCAGACTAACCCACTTATCTGCAA